AGCGGCAGGGAGGAAGCTTTAAAGAATGAGAGGAAAGTTTTATGTTTCATCGTTGCTACATTGCACCCTGCCCAGCTCATCAGGACACATATTTTCAATGATCACTTCAGGAGGGTGGGTATTGAGTAATGCTATGTCTTTGGAACTAAATGTTGTTAGATTAGGGCTACAATTAACTGTAAGCCCAAAATCCATTCATATACCAATGGTTTATATCTCTGCTTCAATGTAGCAACATCATTATAATTTCATAATAGAGAACATTTAAATCATCATTATGACATCACCAGTTTTAGATAAAACCATAGACCAGCATCGGTCTACTTAGAGTAGACATACTTGTCTCCAGCACGTTCCTGCTACTGTTTCCTGAGCTTATTCCATAATCTTAGCATTGCATGCAATTAGGCTTGCTACTCGCGTAAAGAGTTTCAGTTTCAGAAACTCACAGGAGCAGATCTACTCTGTCACAATAGATTGGAAAAGTCTCAATGGCAGTGAGTTTGAGCTCATTCTGGAAGTATGCTCACAATAGAAGGATTCTCAAGTGTCTCAGTCTCCAGAAATACATCAGATTTGAGAATCATGATCTCTTATACTGTTATCAATGTCACCAACCCAAAGAGTACATAGGCAGACAAAACAGTGGGTCAGCCAAAAAATTCCAATCCCAAGCAGAAGGAAAGTTTACACTCTGAGACCTTCATCCAAGTGATTGCAGAGATGGTGCTCTGCAGCTAAGTGGTAAAGGGTCAGTAGCTGCGTCTCACCTGAATTTTTAAATATATAATGCTCATTAACATTCCATATACCTTATATCTGGACCAATAGATAAGTGGAAAATGTAGTAAATTTATCAATTATTTCATTTTACTAGAATCCACAATTAACACTCCTCAAGGCAGCACCCATGCAGAAATCATATAATGCATTGCACTGGGCAAATCTGCTGCACGGGCCCTTTAAAATGTTAGAGAACAAAAATGTTGCCTAGTAGATAAGGTGTATCTGAATCAAGCTACAGTTTTTTTTTCAAATACCTCATATGCATGTGAAATTGGGGCCATGAATAAAGAAAATTAGCCAATTGATGCATTTGAATTATGATGCTGATGAAAAATATTGACTATGCCATGGACTGACAGAAGAACAAACAAATCTTTCCTAGACTAAGGACAACAGAACACTCCTTAGAAGTGAGAATGGCGCCATTAGTCTCATCTACTCCTGACATTTCTAGAAGGATTCAATCTCTATAAAAATGAAAGGTCAACAAAAAAGAAAAAGTACCCCGATGAGATGGATTGACACAGTGGCTACACAAATTGGTTCCGCGTTAACGACTTGAGGAGGGTGCAAGACGGGGCATTGTTCTTTAGGCATTGGAGTCCCGATGAACTGGAACCCACTTTGTAGAACCACAAAATAACAACCACAAACCACCCAACTTTAAGGCCAGTTACCCTCCATAGTGGGGCTACCAAAAAATCTTGAAATTCTTATTTGTTGAGGCAGACGATAAAAGTGGAAGATCACTTAGATCCATACCTTAACCCAGTTGGTCTGTCATGGACACGACACTTCCATTTAGAGAAGGATCTTTCCTACTCAGGCTGGAAGAGTCCATTGATGTAGACACCGAGAGCATCATCCATCATGAGCTGGGATGTTTGTAGCATCTCAATGTATGCAGGCAAAGCTGTAGGGCCACCTGGATAGGTGAAAATATCAGAGGGAAACTGATATTTCCTCACTGAGGTCTTTTTACCTACTTCCTGTCTGAATTAGTTGCTAAACTTCATGCAATTTGAGTCCAATTCCTTAGAG